GGTCCTGAAATAGCATTTCGGTCTGTTACTTTCCTGATGAATGAAACATTTGATTTGCCACCTTTGGTACAGTAATAAATTTAGTTTCGAATTGAAGCATCGATCATTGATTCATTGAACGAATGTCATTTTCGGAAAATCTTTCTTGATTATCTTCAATGGTACAACGAATATCATTCGGAAAATATTTTTGGTATTCTATTCACAAATATTCCAGTTGTCATTAATTTCATCAAATACATTTCAATACAGCATTGGTTTGTTGCTTCTGAAACTTATAAAAGCCATCATTCATCTTGCGCATATTCATTTACGAGTTTGTTGCAAGGGTCAGATTTTGCTAAGCTCGTATCAATTGCTCGTACCTGGTGGACCTGGCGGTCCCATCTCTCCAATCGCGCCTGGTGGTCCATCGCGGCCAGGCGTTCCAGGTTGCCCTCGCCGTCCTCTCATGCCACGGATACCAGGTCTTCCTGGTGGACCGGGTGGTCCAGCTGGTCCAGGAGGACAATAGAAGCAGCCAACTGGACCTTGAAGTCGGACGTCTTCTGCATCTGGGCCATCTTTGCCGTCCACTCCTGGCGGCCCGTCAATTCCATTGGGTCCTTTTTCACCTTTTGGTCCAGGTGGCCCAGGGGGGCAAGGATTCTCAAAGACGCAACCTCAAAAACGAGTTATTCCTAGCAAATTTTCAATCGTCTGCTGTCCGAAATAATGTGTTCACTAACGATACCCAAATATGGATTGTGTATTGCAGGAATTTTGAGAACTATCAATAAATTTGATCCAAGACAATGGGCGATTTTGCAACAGATTTGTCGGAAACGAATAATTCTCGAGATAATAATTTGAAGTAGGTCAAAGTTGTGGTGAAATGCATGAAGACCAGTCGCAATGGGCATATCACAAAGGATTTTTTAAATCTGATATCACAAGAACCCAAAGAGTTTCACTGCACAATTGGCTCACTTACTGCATTTTCCTTTCGGGAAACCAGATGGTGTGAATGTTCCGCCAGTTAAAAGTGGATGCCCTTGTCCCTCACCTCCACCTGAACCGCCAGATTGTCCAGGCGTACTATCACCAGGAAAGCTTGATCCACCGGGTCCCTCTGGTTTTCCACCACCACCTGAACCTCCTCCAGATGCACTTCCAGGGCCACCCGGAGGAACTTCCAATCCTCCACCTTAAAACAGAGCAGTTTTCAGCACATTTTGGGAGAAATTGCCGTAGACTAATTCATTGAGGTACTTTGGACAGTTTGAAAAGGAAAAATTCTTCGTCTTTCTGTAGACTGCTTTTAAAAATAATGTGATGTTAAATTAAAATTTCATTCGAAATACTCAAAGTTTACTTCTTTTGTGAAAATGAATCAGATGAACCCAAAAGCACTTGCCATCGAAGCATTTCAATTGGAAGTGAATATTTCACAACCGAGACATAATCGAAAAATTTATTTTTTTT